GCTAATTTATACAATGTAAAATGCCATAGGCTTGTGCTAATAACGTTAGCATGTTGTATTTGTGGGGAAAATGTGTCCAGATAAAGACAAGTGTTTGTCTGTGAATGCTGCGAGTTATAGTGAAGCTGATTTGTGTTTGAAACTGTCTCTGTTAAGCCATGTTTAATGTGTGTTTAATGTGTGTTTAATGTGTGTTTTGAATCAACTAAACTTTACAGCACTTCACAGAAACCTCCAACGCCCACTAGTGTTGTGGAGGTGTAACTGCAGAGTGACACAAGTATAAATGCTTACAACAGCGTAGGCTCTGCATAGAGCTGCTGCACAATTATAAATCCTGCTTCACTCTCAACATTCAAGAAATCCCTCAAACACACCAGAAAAGCGTCAAATAACTAATGTATTATTGTTATTGTTATTATTATTACATTAATACAGTTCTTCTAAAGTCAGCTGGGCAGATTTTTGCTTTTCTGCAGCTGTGAGGAAATATTCCCGTTCTCTCACACATGAAAAGTTTATTTTTGGAAGAAAGTTGTTTCTTTCATAACATGAGTATGAGTGTGTAAGAGCCAGAGCACCTAAGCTCATCCAACATGCATCTACACTCAGATGAGAGAGGTTGCACTGCAGACATCAGAGTATGTTCATATTTATTTTTATTTAATCAGGAGTCGAGATCTGATTGATAAGTGAACACTGACTGTTGCTCTGTCCTCCCCCAGGCCTGGCTGCAGCATCATTCCCGTTCTCTGGGTCTGTTCATCGATGGGAAGTTTGTCCGTCCAGCCGACAGACAGAGTTGCTCCCTGACTGATTCTAAAGGTAAAAACAGCGCGACCTAGAAACCTAGAAAAATAATCCTGACAAACATTTTTCTCTGCATTTTACAGATTTAAAAAAAAATAAAAAAGGAACCTAGAAACACGATCTTAACAAAACTTTTTTCCACCTGTTTTACAGATTTTAAAAAGTTAAGGAAACTAGAAAAATTGTCCTGACAGAAAAAAAAATTCCACCTGTTTCACGGATTTTAAAAAAATAAATTAAGAAACCTAGAAAAATAATCTTCACAAAACTTTATTTTCCCACTTGTTTTACAGATTAAAAAAAAAAAAAAGAATCTAGAAAAATTGTCCCTATAAATTTTTTTCTCCACTTGTTTCACAACTTCAAAAACAAATTAAGGACCCTCGAAAAATAATCTTGACAAAATGTATTTCCCACTTGTTTTACAAATAAAAAGAAAAATTAAGGAACCTGAAATAAATTGTCCTGACATTTTTTTTCCCACCTGTTTACAGATTTTCCAAAAGTTCAAGAACCTAGAAAAAATGTCCTGACACAACTTTTTTTTCCCAGCTGTTTCACATGTTAAAAAAAAAAAAATAAGGGACCTAGAAAAACTGGCCCTACAAAAAAATTTCCATGTTTTTTTTTTTTAAAGATTAAGAAAAATTAAGGAATCTAGAAAAATGATCCTGTCTAAATGCAGATCAGACTTAAGAAATTGATCACCAGAATTTTTCCCACCTGCCTCTCAGGGCTTCTGTATAAACTGACCACATGCATGTTTTTCCTCCTCTGGTCTCCAGGTGTTAACGTGTGCAGCACAGTGTGCGCTGTGGAGGAAGACGTTTCCCAGTGCGCCTCCTCTGCTGTTAACGGCTACAAGGCGTGGAGCAGCCTGAGCTGCTACCAGAGAGCCAAAGTGTTGCTCAGGTACGATAAACCTCAGGAAGCTCAGCACTGACTGTCTCGTCCACTGTCCTAACATCCTGTCCTCCACCAACAGGTTGGTGAGTGTCCTCGGGCAGCACGGTCAGTGTGTGTCGGAGCTGTGTGAGCTGTGTAACGCCGCCTGCTCGCCCTCCGCCCTCGTCAGACTGCTGCAGTACTACAGCAGCTGGGCTCAGCTCAGAGACACGCTCATCACTGACTGGACACCGCTGGGTGAGGTTAACTGTGTGTAGCTTGTCGAGCAGCGTTAACCACCAAAGAAAATCTGACAAACGGTAACTGAGTTTGAGTCCAGCCTGCAGCCCTTCGAAGACATCAGCAAGTGGCCCAATATTCAGTGGCTAGATACAGGCTATGCTAACAAGTAAACTTGCCAATAGACTAGGATGTTAGCGAGTTAGCTTGCTAACTAGGTAGGCTTTACTTGCCAATAGAATAGAAGCCAGTTAGCTTGCTAAGTAGGTAGGCCATGCTAACAAGAGAACTTGCCAAGAGACTAGAATATTAGCGATTTAGCTTGGTAACTAGGTAGGCTTTACTTGCCAATAGAATAGACTGTAAGCAAGTTAGCTTGCTAAATAGGTAGGCTATGCTAACAAGTAAACTTGCCAATAGTGTAGAATATTAGTGGTTGTTTGTTAAGTAGGTAGGCTGTGCTAGCAATTAACCTTGCCAATAGACTAGAATATTAGCGATTTAGCGTGGTAACTAGGTAGCTATGCTAACGAGTAAACTTGCCAGCACACTAGAATATTAGGCAGCTAGCATGCTAAGTAGTTAGGCAATGCTAACGAGTAAACTTGCCAGTAGACTAGAATTTTGCCAAGTTAGCTTGTTAAGTAGGTAGGTCATGCTAACAAGTAACCTTGCCAGTAGACTAGAATATTAGCGATATAGCTTGGTAACTAGGTAGCTATGCTAACAAGTAAACTTGCCAGCAGACTAGAATATTAGGGAGCTAGCATGCTAAGTAGGTTGGCCATGCTAACAAGTAACCTTGCCAATAGACTAGAATATTAGCGATATAGCTTGGTAACTAGGTAGCTATGCTAACAAGTAAACTTGCCAGCAGACTAGAATATTAGGGAGCTAGCATGCTAAGTAGGTAGGCCATGCTAACAAGTAACCTTGCCAATAGACTAGAATATTAACGATTTAGTATGCTAAGTAGGTAGGCCATGCTAACACGTAACCTTGCCAATAGACTAGAATATTAGCGATTTAGCTTGGTAACTAGGTAGCTATGCTAATGAGCAAACTTTCCAATAGACTTGAATATTAGCAAGTTATCTCGCTAGCTAGGTAACTGCTAATGAGCAAACCTGTCAATAGACTAGCATATTAGCGAGTTAGCTTGCTAGGTAGGTGAGATATGCTAACAAGTAAACTTGCCAATAGACTATAATACTAGCGAGTTAGCTTGCTAAGTAGGTAAGTCATGCTAGCGAATAAAGTTGCCAGTAGACTAGATATTAGGGAGTTAGCATGCTAAGTAGTTAGGCCATGCTAACGAGTAAACTGGCCAGTAGACAAGAATTTTGGCAAGTTAGCTTGTTAAGTAGGTTTGCCATGCTAATTGGGCACCTTGTTAATAGACTAGAATATGAGCGTGTTAGCTTGCTAACCAGGTAGGCTTTACTTGCCAATAAAATAGAATGTTAGAGAGTTAGTTTGCTAACATTGCAGGCCATGCCAACTAGTAAACTTGCCAGTAGACTAGAATGTTAGCGAGCTAGCTTGCTAACTAGGTAGGCCATGCTAACGAGCAGACTTGCCAGTCAACCAGAATATTAGTGAGTTAGCTTGCTAACTGGATAGGCTGTTAAATTGTGATGATTGCAGGTTTTTCCGACTGAAAAATTATATTATCCTTAATAGTTGTAAACAATATTCTAACCTATTGGCGAGTTTACTTGTTAGCATAGCCTGCCTAAATAGCAAGCTACCTCACTGATACTCTAGTCTATTGACAAGTTTACTCATTAGTGTAGCCTACGGAGTTAGCAAGCTAACTAGCTAACCCTGCAGTAGCATGTAAGGATTTTGTTCGGTGTTACTGAAGATTTTATTCAGTTGTATGAACTTAATTTTGGGAAACTAGCTTAGCTCTGAAGAAGCACAAAGGAATTTTGAAAGAAGCACAGGAGCAGCACACTGATGATGTCAGAGGGCTGTGATTGGTTGATTGCGATGTTGATCCAGGAGCAGGTCCTACACGTACACATCGTTAATTTTCAATAGTTTTTGTTTATTTGTTTGTTTTTCCTGTTTTCCAGGTGTGGTGGCCGTGGTTGTCTCTGATGACTGCTCTCTCTACTCCCTCATGCTCAAAGTCCTGCCAGCACTGGCCATGGGTAACTATCAATTAGTTAACTACTAATTAGCTGATCACTGCAGCTCATTATGTTTTTTGTCAGTTTTTGTTTAATAATCTGTTGTGAATTATAACTGAGTCGTGCCTTCTTTTAGGGAACTCCGTCATCGTCGTCCCTGGTCGGAGCAGCGCCCCTCCAGCGCTCCTGTTGGCCCAGCTTTTTACAGGAGCAGGACTTCCTGCCGGAGCTCTTAATGTTTTAACAGGAAGTGACCTGTCGCTGGGCGCCAAAGTGGCCCGGAACTCCAGCATCAGCTACGTCACCTACAGCGGCAACAAGCAGGTGTGTGTGAGAAAACCAGAAGAGCGTAATGTCACATCTGAAGCTTTCAAAGCTGTTTTAAATGTTCCTAGAACTCCTGAATCATTACAGCAGGGTCTCCTCACGTCTGTTTCAGGACGGGGTGACGCTGTGTAAGGCCACAGCAGGGATGGGCGTTCCCGTTTCTATCTCGCCCTACATCGGCGCTAGCTGTCCCTTCATCATCTTTGAGTCAGCTGACATTGACAGCGCAGTGGACGGAGTGATGGAGGCGGCGTTCAAGAGGAAACGAGAGGTGATTAACATCAATAAGTTTCGTCTATAGAAGGACAGTGAGTCCACGACCGCCGCGATTCTTTCCCAATCATCTCCTCCTCTCCCCCCTCAGGTCCACTGGGTGCTGTGTGTGCAGGAGAGCGTGCTGGACAGTGTCGTGGCTCGTCTCAGGCTCCGTTTGGCCGGGATGAAGTGTGTGTCCCTGCACAGTGATGGGGCCAGGCTCCTGGTGGACGTTGCAGTACAGGACGCTCAGCATCAGGGGGCGACGGTGAGTCAGACACACAAACATCAGCTGTGTTGAGCTGCAGCGATGCACCAGACGAGTTACTGAGAGCAGAGCCCTGCACAGGTCCATTTCTGAGAAACCCGTGAATTTATGTATATACGTAGTTTTACCTGTCGCACAGCTTTTTTGGCGGTTACCGATCAGGTAGCCGACCAGTGCAGGACTCTGACTGAGAGTAGAGCAGAACTGAGGTGATGCAAACTAACTGGACTTATATTATTTGAATGTACGCCGACACCAAGGTGTAGGAAACCAAGGTGTAGGAAACTGTTTAAGTTTCTAACTTGGTAAATAAAAACCAGTTATTTTTCTCTCTCTGGTCCCCAGTTGGTTCAGTCCTGCGCTGCCCCCCCCTCAGGTGCTCAGTACCCTCCCACAGTGCTCTGCGGGGCAGCCCCCTCCTCTCCATTCGTGGTCAGCCCTCCTCCTGGACCGCTGCTGCCGCTCATGACCTTCAGAAGCAACACAGAGGCAGTGACGCTCGGTAAGATAGCCTCTGAGAGTGATGGAGATGAGTGAGTGAAGAGTTTTTGACAGTTAAAGGAATACTTCAACCCCCAAATGACAGTTTGTAAATTGACTACTGCCCCCATCTTATGTTGTATTCATGAAGATAACGGTATTACCGCGGGGTGGTAATTCTAGATCTTGAAAGCCTCCAAGGTGAAAAAGGGGAAAAAACTCTTGATGTAGTGAAGTCATAGGGTCCACATTTAACAGCAGCTAAACTATATCAAAACATCCATTCACAAACCTACACATCTTGTGCGGTGTAATCTAAGTCTCATTTATCCAGTTGTATCCTCAGTACTTCCCAAACAGCCCATCCTGACAGGGAACTGAACCGAGAGTCAAACTCCATTGAGAAAAACAGTAATTTTAACTTGCTGAACACAGGAGCTGCTGGTCTGTCACTGCCTTGATCAGTCCGTTAGTTTGTGTTATTGTGTGACTTAGTTGAATCCAAACGACCCTTTTTAAAACACCAAAGTCACACTAACACTCAGTTTCCACAAGTACCACAGTAAAGGTGGATTTATAGTTGTGTGTCAGCTCGATGCAGAGCCTACATCATTGTGAGCATTAATACCTGTGTGGTGGTGTGTCTGTGTCACTCTGCAGTTACACCTCCAAAACACTAGTCGGCAGCAGGGTTTCCGTAAAGTGCTGTAAAGTTTAGTTGATTCAAAACAAACATTAAGCACTCATTAAAGACACATTAAATACACATTAAACATTTTTTTCAGGTTCCTTCATTTTTCTTTTTATTTGTAAAACAAGTGGGAAAAACATTTTGTCAAGATGATTTTTCGAGGGTCCTTAATTTGTTTTTGAAGTTGTGAAACAAGTGGAGAAAAAAATTTATAGGGACAATTTTTCTAGATTCTTTTTTTTTTATCTGTAAAACAGGTGGGAAAATAAAGTTTTGTGAAGATTATTTTTCTAGGTTTCTTAATTTATTTTTTTAAAATCCGTGAAACAGGTGGATTTTTTTTTTTCTGTCAGGACAATTTTTCTAGTTTCCTTAACTTTTTAAAATCTGTAAAACAGGTGGAAAAAAGTTTTGTTAAGATCGTGTTTCTAGGTTCCTTTTTTATTTTTTTTTAAATCTGTGAAATGCAGAGAAAAATGTTTGTCAGGATTATTTTTCTAGGTTTCTAGGTCGCGCTGTTTTTACCTTTAGAATCAGTCAGGGAGCAACTCTGTCTGTCGGCTGGACGGACAAACTTCCCATCGATGAACAGACCCAGAGAACGGGAATGATGCTGCAGCCAGGCCTGGGGGAGGACAGAGCGACAGTCAGTGTTCACTTATCAATCAGATCTCGACTCCTGATTAAATAAAAATATATATGAACATACTCTGATGTCTGCAGTGCAACCTCTCTCATCTGAGTGTAGATGCATGTTGGATGAGCTTAGGTGCTCTGGCTCTTACACACTCATACTCATGTTATGAAAGAAACAACTTTCTTCCAAAAATAAACTTTTCATGTGTGAGAGAACGGGAATATTTCCTCACAGCTGCAGAAAAGCAAAAATTTGCCCAGCTGACTTTAGAAGAACTGTATTAATGTAATAATAATAACAATAACAATAATACATTGGTTATTTGACGCTTTTCTGGTGTGTTTGAGGGATTTCTTGAATGTTGAGAGTGAAGCAGGATTTATAATTGTGCAGCAGCTCTATGCAGAGCCTACGCTGTTGTAAGCATTTATACTTGTGTCACTCTGCAGTTACACCTCCACAACACTAGTGGGCGTTGGAGGTTTCTGTGAAGTGCTGTAAAGTTTAGTTGATTCAAAACACACATTAAACACACATTAAACATGGCTTAATAGAGACAATTTCAAACACAAGTACACAAATCAGCTTCACTATAACTCGCAGCATTCACAGACAAACACTTGTCTTTATCTGGACACATTTTCCCCACAAATACAACATGCTAACGTTATTAGCACAAGCCTATGGCATTTTACATTGTATAAATTAGCCTAGCAGCTAGCAGACTTTTCCTCTACTCATATGAAGCCAGGGACAACAGCAACATTTAACAAAGGTAACGTTACAAAATTCAGCTCCATTACAACTCACAAGGTTCACTGACAAAACAACTGTCTTATACTAAACACGTTTTCCAAACAAATACAACATGCTAACGTTATTAGCACAAGCCTATGGCATTTTACATTGTATAAAGTAGCCTAGCAGCTAGCAGACTTTTCCTCTGCTCATATGAACATTACATTGAACATTGAATATTATACAAAGGTAACGTTACAAAATTCAGCTCCATTACAACTCACAAGGTTCACTGACAAAACAACTGTCTTATACTAAACACGTTTTCCAAACAAATACAACATGCTAACGTTATTAGCACAAGCCTATGGCATTTTACATTGTATAAATTAGCCTAGCAGCTAGCAGAGATTTCCTCTGCTCATATGAAGCCAGGATAAATCACACACAAGACTTAAAATGCTATTTTAGTGGAGGCTTTATTGTCTTCACAATTTATTGTTTCTTATCTGTGAAATTAAAGTAAATCAAAGCTTTGTTTCCACTGAGGGAAATGGTTTCAGCTTACAGAGACAGACAGGAGGTCTGCGTCACTGTGACGTGTAGTTACATCTCTGGACAGGTACACATCAAACTACGGCGTAGGGGACACTGTCGATTCTATGCAGAAGTATAAATCCTGCTTAACAGTGTGTGTTCTTCACAGGAAACCACAGCCCTCATGGTCAGGCAGCCTCCATCTGGACTGAAGACCTCACACTGGCTCTGGAGACAGCCAAGAGGTTCACACACTCACACACTTCTTTTTATCTTCTATTTGATCTTTTATCTGCTATTATTCAAAATCCATGTCTGATTTAGACGCTGATCATTTATACAGCATATTTAGTTTAGATATTCACTATGACACGTTGAGTAGGAATATTGTCTTTTTTTGTGTAACTGAACATTTTGTTGGTGTAAACACAGTCAGTGACATGGTTTACAGGGACGCCTGTGTAATGGAGCCATTGTTCATGTTATTATTTACACCTGTGCTTTTGGAAAACGTCTGCTCTGAAGGATCTTTTACTCTGACTCATGTTTCCTTCTTCTTCTTCTGTCCTCAGTCTGTCAGTTGGCTCTGTGTGGGTGAATTCCCACTCTGTGTCCGACCCCTGTCTGCCTGTCTCCGGTCACAAAGACAGCGGCACCTGCACTGACGGAGGACAGGAGGTGGGTTTCACAGATTATCACACACTTAATTTGAGGTTTAAGTCAAAGTTTGGACTCGGCCCTTTACCACTTTTATTTTGGCGTTCTGTACACACACCAGACACGAACATATCAGTCTTGTCCTGAATGTTGATGTCTTCTCTGCTCTCTTACAGGGTCTGTACCAGTTCCTACGTCCGTCCTCGTCCTCTCCTCCTCTTCCTCGCTCCTCGCCCGTCTCTATGGACTACTCAAAGTTTGGAACAGCAGCGTCTCCAGCAATCATTCCTGAAGACTGTGACGCTGCCAGGTGGGTTTTTTAATACTTTTTTCTGAGATGAAGTCTTACAAGTATCTTGGAATTTTGATTTATGATTGTCTTTCTTTAAAGCCTCACATCAGAAAAAACTGAAGTTTGAATTGAATTTTTATTTTTGAAACAAGTGTTGCTTTTCCTTCGAGACCAAAAGGAGACTCGTTGCTGCCACCTTTATGTCTGTGCTGGACTGTGGCGATCTTACATCTACACACCCTGGATACTGTTACCCATAGAGCACTTAGATTTATGACAAATCTTTAATCACCATCGCTGTCTGTAAATTCAAGTTGGATGGTCTGCCTCCTCCACTCATAGACTAACGCCACGTCTCCACCAAACCCTTTCAGTCCAGCACCTTTGGAACCAGCAGTAATCCTTCAGACATGGTACCTAGACCCTCGGTCTGTTCAGACAGTCCTCTTAAATGTGGGCGGGGTTGTTGTCACTCACTGCTCCGTCCAGCACTCGCTGTATTTCTTCATCAGCGGTGACACAGATGGAAGTCTGCACCTGGTTTATCGTCCACAGAACGAGGCTGCACGCCCACATTTTCAGAACAAAATAGAACAGGCTGCAGTGAGAGTCTCTCTCCATGGGATATTTAAAAATAGCAGCTTTGTGCATTTAGTCCTTCTCAGGCAAGCTCAGGGGTTTAGTGTTGCTGGAGCCCACAGGAAGTGAGGATTAGAATATATGACCTTCACATAATCCGCTCCAAATTAATCTATATGTCTGTGAGTTGTTCTCATTTTAAATTGTTTAATGTTTGTCTTCTGTCTGCAGCTGTATTATTTGTGCTGCTGCTTGTCTTGACCTCATTAAAAAAAAGGTCTCAGTGAGTCTTTTACTCCTGGCCAAATGAAAGTCAAAGAAAAAAAAGTTATAAGCACATTATGTATGAACTGTAAGTACTTGAATAACAGCATGCTGTGCAGGATAAATGGGATTTTGCACGTCTGCCACATACCTCTCCCTCCCCCCTCCCCCCTCAGTGCTCCGAAGTCCTACCTGCAGTTTGTTGCTGGTAAAGCATGTAAATCAGTGTCTGGCTGCAGTGTGGCGGTGCAGTCACCAGGGGGCGGCAGCGTGTTAGCCTACTGTCCAGATGGAGGTCGGAAGGACGTCCGCAATGCTGTGGAGGCTGCTGCCAAAGTCCAGCCTGGGTGAGAGCTTCGACACACACATACACATGCAAACTGGGCCAAAGAACACAGACAGGCGCTTGTTGTGTTTTGGACACGTGTCCAGGTCAGATATGGACTGAGCTGATAGGAGACACACTTTTGAAATTCTGTCTGTGTTTGGTAGCCTTGACTGCCTGTGCCTTTTTAAAAACAGTTGCAACAAAGGATAATGATAAAATCATCATTGATTCATTCTCTGTAACCACTTATCCTGTTAGGGGTCACAGGTGCTGGAGCCTATCCCAGCTGACACTGGGTGAGAGGCAGGGTTCACCCTGGACAGGTCACCAGACTATCACAGGACTGACACATAGAGACAAACAACCATTCACACTCACATTCACACCTACGGACAATTTAGAGTCACCAATTAACCTGCATGTCTTTGGACTGTGGGAGGAAGCTGGAGCACCTGGAGGAAACCCACGCTGACACAGGGAGAACATGCAAACTCTGCACACTGAAGGGCTCCCTCACCCCGAGGTTTGAACCAGGGATTCACTTGCTGTGAGGCGACAGTGCTAAACACTGCACCAGCGTGCTGCATATAATAATAAACTAAGTAATAATTAAATAATAGAAAAGCAACAGATCAGCAACATTTCAGGGCTGTGAGGAACAGTTAGAAGCTTTGAAGCTTCATTTATACGGTTGACATTTGAATTCTGAATCAGCATTCAGATCCTGCACAGCTTTTTTGTATTTTTTTCAAACCTATTCATGCTGTTTCAACCCAGTATTTCTGCACAGTTGCAGTTCAAGATCACGCCACACTAATATTATCAGTACAATCCTGATTCCAAAGAAGTCGTGACGCTGTTTAAAACAAGCACAAAAACATAACTAAATGATTTGCAAATCCTTTTCGACATATAATGGAGTAAATGAGCATTCAACACATCAGAGTCGAAATTTAAACATTAAATATATTTCATTTTATCATATTTAACTGAACCTTGGTCAAGGACGTTTGTGGAATTATTGCATTTTGTTTTTATTTATTTGTTTTTGTTTTTTATTTTTTTGGAGTCAGGGTTGTAAAAAACTGGAATTGGATTCCAGTCGAGGCTGTGTAGGATTGTTTCCAAAAACATTTAACTCCAAATTATTGTTAAGTCCAAAATTCAAAAGTTATTAAAACAAGATGGATGTAATGCTTTTATTGAACAAAATATTCAGCTTCAGTCCATTTTGTTGGCGTTTAGCCTCAAAAACAACATCTGGGAACTTTTATAATGAGGACTAGCAGCTTTACAGGAGCTCACAGACAATGATTATCAGTGTGTCACAGTGATGGCTGACAATATTAAAACAACTACAGTTTGTATTGTTGCACAAATATATGAATTCAAGCACTTTCAGTAACCAAATGTCTGTTTGTGTTTATTTTTATAAACCTTTCAAGACCTTAATTTCTTTCTCCACAAATTAAAAAAACTTGAAAGAACTGTCAGGACCTGTGGGAACCCTCTCTGGAATAGCCCCGCCCACTTTTAAATTCTATGGGGGAGTGGTCCTCCCTGGAATAGCCCCGCCCACTTTTAAATTCTATGTGGAGTGGATGGGGGGGGGGGGGGTGGGGGCGGAGCCATCAGTGTTCCAACTCCTTTGTGACACTTCGGCGCACGGAACACATCGAAAGATCAAAGGAATTGAAATTGGTAAGTAGCCCCAGGATATCACATAATTTCAGTCACACACTAGTGTCGCGTACTTAGTCTATTATACAGACGATCTTACACACACACAGTGAGTATTTCTGAGTCAAGCAGTCTGTTGGCCATCTATACACATAACGATGGACAAAAGAACAAACAACAGACAGAGACCAGCTGGTGATGCTGCGGGCCGTCGTAGACCTCCACAACATCACCACCATCAGCCCAACAATGCCTCTTGGGGAGACCTTGTTGATGAGGAAAACCAGAAGTTATGCCACATCATCAAGAAGAAGAAGGACCAGATCAAGCGTCTGGAGGAGCTGCTCGAGGCCAGAGACAGCGGGTTCAGCTCTGAGTTCAAAAAAAGCGCTGAGAGAGTCTGTGAGCTGGAAACACAGAACTACGACCTCACATTGTCTCTCCAGCACCAAGAGAAGAACAGCAAGCAGCAGTTTGAGGAGATGGTCGCTAAGTATGAGGCCGAAAAACAAACTGCATCAAACCATATCAAGCAGGTTTTGAGGCAGGAGGTCGAGAGCCAGGTACGGCGGGAGTACCAGCAGAAGGAAGCCCAGCTGAAAAAACAGATCCATCAGATGGGTGCTGAACTCCAGAAAATCCGCGAGGAGCAACAGAGTCTCCTTCTGACGATGTCAGACGCGCACACAGCGATGACCACCAAAGATGCTGCTCTCCAGCAGAGCGAGGAAGCCTGGCAGGCTAAATATGATGCTCTGACTGAGAAAATGGAAGAAAACACCAAGAAATGTGAGACGCAGGTGAATGAATTCACCATCAAGGCCTCTCTGATGGAAGAGCAAATCCATCAGAGAGACCTTGAGATCCTGCGTCTCACCGAGGACAACAACTGTCTCGCTAACAAACTTACAGAGACAGCACAAGAGCTGACCTCCAGAGCTGATGAACTCCTCCAGAGCCAGAGAGCCTGGGAGGAGAAACTCCAGACTGTCAAGGACAGCCTCTACAAAGAGGCTGAAGAACGTCAACAGAGCTGGGAGTCACAGCAGACTCAAATTAGAGTCAAGGTCGAGGCAGAGATCCAACAGAGAGACGCTGAGATCCTGCGTCTCACCAAGGACAACAACGGTCTCCTCAAAAAGCTCTCGGAGAAAACAGAAGAGCTCTCCCGTAAGGATGATGAACTCCTCCAGAGCCAGAGAGTCTGGGAGGACAAGTGCAACACTCTGGAAACCAACATTACAGAGGAGCTTGCTGAGAAACATCAGGCAGAAGTGAAACAGCTGATGGGTGAGAAGGTGGAACTGGAGGACCTCTGCTTGTATGTCAATAAGCAGAGGAAACGCTTCTTGCTGTTTCCAAGGAGGTCTTCAGACGACAGAGAGACCCAGCTGCAGAAGATGAAGAACAAAATGCAGCAGAAGGCAGCAAAAGCAAGAGGAGCTGAGAAGATGGAAGAAGAAATGGAGGCTGCTGATTGTTCAGCTCAGGCTGGGCATCAGTAGCTCCCATAGCTTCTTCCTTTTATGTGGGGTTTTCTCCTGGTGCTCAGGTTCGCCCGTAAGTGTTAATCACATTCAAAAAAAATGCTCTAGAAAGAGCAGACGAGAAGAAGGGGGTAGAGAAGGAGGCAATTGTTGCCCAGCTCAGCCTGAGCTGGGCAACAATTGCCTCCCAGAGATGTCTGTGTCCCAGTCATCAAGGTAATGGTACTCATAAGTGCTATATCGTAGGCAAAGGGACACAGGCAAATCCATTTGCCTACGATATAGCACTGACAGAGATGATTACATCTCCTCGGGTTTTTCTCCTGGTACTCAGGTTTTTCCCGCCAATGTCAATCACATTGGGAAAAAAATGCTCTAGAAAGAAGAACAAACTAGAGCAGACAATAAGAGGTAGAGGAGGAGGCAATTGTTGCCCAGCTCAGCCTGAGCTGGGCAACAATTGCCTCCCAGAGATGTCTGTGTCCTCCAGGTAATGGTACTCATAAGTGCTATATCGTAGGCAAAGGGACACAGGCAAATCCATTTGCCTACGATATAGCACTGACATCTTCTGTAGATTATTATTATCTACTCATGGGTTTTCTCCTGGTACTCAGGTTTTCCCGCCAATGTCAATCATATTAGACTATACCATCATTAGTCCTAATAAAATGACATCAAATTGGAGTTCAATGTTTCTTTGTCTTTGAATGAAAACAAACTGCATAAATACAATGTTATGACATTATGGAAGGTAAAAAGTGTAAGAACTGGTATCTGTTGAAGTTATGGTTTAAACACTTCTGAAACTGATCAATGAAACTGATCAATGAAACTGATCAGTGTTTCAAAGAATGTTTCATTCCCCTTGTGTTTTATTGTGCAGCACTTTGTGACTGTGTTTGGAAAGGTGCAAAATCAATAGAGTTTATTATTACTATATTTATAATATCAATATCAATAGTTTAGTATTATTATTATTACTGTATTTATAATATCAGTATCAATAGACTTTATTATTACTATATTTATAATATCAGTATCAATAGACTTTATTATTACTGTATTTATAATATCAGTATCAATAGACTTTATTATTACTATATTTATAAGAAAAATGATGACTTTAAAAACGGACCTTTATCTAACTATAAGGGGCCGTACACATGCCGCGTCTTTAATCACCTGGAAAACACAAGGTCGGGCGCTGGGCGCTACTCTTGTTCCTTTTCTGTGCCAGCTTTCAATGACGCGGTGGCAGGTTGTGTCTGTGGTTGTTTCGCAACCTCAACAAGCACCGTATCAAGGCCAATAGTTTTCCATCAATGACCTTTTTCCCGTGAGGAAAACAAGACGATGACTCAGGCAGAAACACTTTGACTAGTCTGTAAAACCTACTTTTGATGCTACATAGATCTTTAAATCTGTAATTTATGGTCAAAATCAAACTTTTATAGGTGAAATGTGATTTATTCAGACTTTGACAAAGGACACACACCTGTACAATCTAGATAAGCAGCAGGTATTTCACAACCCAGTGGGCTCTGTGTTTATTGAACTGGTTTATTACCAGTTAAAGTTCAACTTGACAAATTTGCTGAGTCACACACAAACAGTATATCAACAGAGTTTGATTACACCTGTCGGTACATACGCACCATTAAAGGTTCAGCACATGCTCAGTGTGGTTCTCCTTCAGGAAACGCATACTGTTTCAGTTTTTAACCATCACTCCTGTTCTTGTAGCGCAGTGTTGCGTTTTGAGAGACGAGGCATCTGCATTAGATTCTTAGATTCACAGCTTATTTTTAACATCAAAATGTTTTCAGAAACATATTTCAGTGAACTGTGTTTGTAATATGAAAAAAAGTTTCCAAACGAGCCACAATGTTGATTTAGTTTGTGATCTGGGAGCAGACAGCCCACAGGCTTAAGCAAGATTTATACTTGTGTGTCAGCTCCATGCTGCAGACTGCGCACATAGACTACGCTATTGTGAGTGTTTATACTATACTACAGGCAGACCTGTCTGTCTCTGTGAGCTGAAACCATTTCCCTCAGTGGAAACAAAGCTTTGATTTACTTTAATTTCACAGATAAGAAACAATAAATTGTGAAGACAATAAAGCCTCCACTAAAATAGCATTTTAAGTCTTGTGTGTGATTTATCCTGGCTTCATATGAGCAGAGGAAATCTCTGCTAGTTGGCTAATTTGCTAATTTATACAATGTAAAATGCCATAGGCTTGTGCTAAAGCTTAGTTTAGTTTATTCATTCATTTCAAACCAAACAAAATAATACAACACATACAACACAACAAATCCACAGGACACCACTGATAACAAACAATGTAACAACCACAAACAAACAACAACACAGTTTTAGAAGGGGATGGAAGAAGCAAACACTCCTTTTCTAAACTTCCTTTTGAACTGATGAACATTTTCACTGAGTTTAACCTCTTCATCTAAACCATTCCATAGAATTACCCCGCAAACAGAAATACACATACTTTTAGAGTGGTTCTGACACTTTGTTGTTGTAATTTGAGTTTTCCTCTTAGATGATACTTTTTATTACCCTCCCTCTCATGAAACAAATTTTGAATTATGCCCAGAAGAAGATTATTTGTGTAGTTTTGAATTTTACCAGGTCTGATCATTTCAGTGTGGATGACTTCAAAAACAGTGGATTAGTGTGATCGTTGTACCTCACATTGTGAACTGATCTTATGGCTCTTTGTTGTAGTATGTACAGAGGGAGCAGGTTGGTTTTATAAGTATTACCCCAGACTTCCACACAGTAACTCAAATATGGTAATACAAGAGAATAATATAAAATAAGCAAGGATTGTTGATTCAGTAAGCACCTAGTTCTCCTCATAACACCCACACTTTTTGCCATCTTGGAACCTACGTAACTTAAATGGGGTTTCCAGCAGATTCTTTCATCAATTATCACACCCAGAAATGTAGTATGGTCCACTCTTCCAATAATTACATTATCTATTATTATTTGAATGTCAGTTTTACGTCTTCCAAATAACGGAAGTTTTGTTTTGTCCAAATTTAGTGACAATTTGTTTATATCAAACCAATTCTTCAATTTGTTCATTTCATGTGTGATATTTTCTAAAAGCTGCTGCAAATCCTCACCAGAACAGATAATGTTAGTATCATCAGCAAGAAGTACGAACTGTACAAATATCATTCATGTACATAATGAAGAGAATTGGCCCTAATATCGACCCTTGAGGTACACCGCACTTGATGTCTCTTCCAGTGGAATTAAAATTGTCAATTTGGACTAGGGTTGGGACTCATTAGAATTTTAACGATTCCGATTCCTTACCGATTCCTCTTACCGATTCCTACATTATATTCATTATACTTGCTATACTTAAACAAGTATATAATAAACACAAATGCAATCATACAAATACAAAAAACTTCATTCTAACTGTTACACAGTCCAATTAGATGAAAATACACATTTGTGTGTGGTGTGTATTTCAGATTTAGAGCTTGTATCATCTCCCTGAGAATATATAACAACAAAAAGTGATTCTCTGATTTCTACAGTAACACTATTACCTCAAATTAACCACAGCCATGTAATAAAAAATACTTATACCTGCTCCCATCTCAAACACGGAGGTCTCCCTCTCCGCTGAGCACCCATGGCGCACGCCCGGCCTGTTAAATACCCTGTAACCATAACAACTGTGTGACACAAACTCAGTGCTTTGGTCATTAAATAATGTCGGGCTCGGTTCGGGTTCGGACAGAAATATGCGGCCTGTGCCGCACTCTAATGGAAATGCATGTGACTTTGTTTTTGTTTTTACAATCTAGGAACCATTTGCAGGAACCGTTACTCCAAATGTGATGGAACCGGTTCCAGAACCGGATCCATATCCCAACCCTAATTTGGACAAACTGTTGCCTATTTTCTAGATAGTTTCTCAGCCAGGTCAGTACAGTTCCCCTAATGCCATATATCTCCATCTTCTTTAACAAAACACCATGATCCATCGTGTCAAAAGCCTTTTTTAAGTGGATGAAGATTCCAATGGCAAACCTTCTTTTATCTATATGGGTTGTAATTTCTTCAGTTAAATCAATTAATGCAAATGAAAAACATTAGCATGTTGTATTTGTGGGGAAAATGTGTCCAGATAAAGACAAGTGTTTGTCTGTGAATGCTGCGAGTTATAGTGAAGCTGATTTGTGTTTGAAACTGTCTCTGTTAAGCCATGTTTAATGTGTGTTTAACTTGTGTTCAGTGTGTGTTTAATGTGTGTTTAATGTGTGTTTTGAATCAACTAAACTTACAGCACTTCACAGAAACCCGCCACTGACTAGTGTTCTGGAGGTGTAACTGCAGAGTGACACAGACACACCACCGCACAAGTATAAATGCTCACAACAGCGAAGGCCACGTGCGTAGGGTTTCCACAGAGCTGCCACACAAGTACAAATCCTGCTGTAGTGGACACAAATTGACGTTGCATAATTGTCCCAGTAGTTACATTGCAGCATGTTTCACTGCTGCTGGCTGCAGCGCTCTCTCTCAATATTGAACCAGTTTCAAAACTTGTTGTTCCCATTCGTCACTTAGACACAAAAACATGAGAAAACAGAGTCCACGTTGAAAAAAACTGACGTGTCTCTTTGATATCTTTTCCTTCCTCTAGCTGGATGAAAAAGACACCGTCTGCACGCGCTCAGTTGCTCCACTCTCTGGCTAAGGGCCTGGAGGCAAAGAGGCGGGACATAGCCGCGTCAATCAACGCTCAGACTGGTCTCTCAATGGACGAGGCTGATCAGGAGGTGGAGCTCAGCATCAACAGGCTCAGTGATTGGGCGGCTTACTGTGACAAAGTCCAAGGAGGAACTCCAGTGAGCCTTTTTTAATATAAAAAGTTTATTTGAAAACTTTTGATCTCTGCACTGTGTCAACATCTCGTCGTGTCCCTCCTCCTCTTCAGCCTCTGCCACAGTCCGGCTCTGCTCTCTCCCTCCCTGAAGCCCTGGGAGTCGTGGGGGTCGTCCTCCCTGACAGGAATCCCCTCCTCTCTATGGTGACACTTCTTGGGGCAGCCATCGCCAATGGCAACGCCGTCATCATGGTCCCCAGTCAGAAGTATCCACTTTCAGCCTTGGCTTTCATTCAGGTAAATGTTCGCCTGATCACAAGGAGCGTTTGCAGGTTTCAAAACGAGAGGCGCTCTGCCTTTTGTTTTTCTTTAATTAAATGCCACCAGTAAAAAAAAAAAAAAAGGAAAACACATGCTGTGCTTTGTTGTTGTTGCCAGGCAACCACACCATCACCTCCTCAGCCTAAACCCTCTATGTAATCAATTTACTGTTTTTTGTTTTTTGTTTGTTTGTTTTTTGTAAGTTTTATAAAAGTAGGGTACTTGCACATAGTTTGTCAGGCGCAGATAAACAGAGATCTGTGTGGGCACATGAGACCCTAAAAAAGAGGCTGGGTCACAGGACGCACCACCAGTCGGTCGTAGGGCTGGGCGATGTAACGACTATGTACTATATGTCGATATGTTTCCAGTCAAGATACAGATTTCTGAGAGTTAAGGTTTCCTTGAAATGTTTATTGAAGGATTTAAGTTTTTCTCCTTATCGTGGTCTCATACTTAAGGGATCGCTTAAAGAACCTTAGTAACAAAAGTAAAGACAAAAACATAAAGTACCTCTGACTCCATCTTCACTGCAGCATGGTTGAGTTTATGGAGATAAATGTCAAATTATCCTGAGAAGACTGTTCACGACTGGGAGAATCTGATGGACACTCTTAATGATGAGTGCCTCATTTTGCACTTTTTATTTTACCAGAAGTGAATCTATGATTGTGACTGACTGGGGTTGGATCACTCAACTTTCCAAAGCTGTGCTCCTCCAGCCCGTTACAGTTAATGATGGCTCTGCAGTTTTATGCAACGGGATCTTTCCAGTCAGTTGTTAGCAGATTATCTCTTGTACGTGTCGTACTGAAGGAGCAAACTTGAAAAAAGAATGTAAAAAAACTAACAAACAAGGAAATGACCTGGAAAGAGAGCATACAATTATAATAATTCTGTAACATATGATTTATTATTATTATTATTATTATAAATATAGTTTTTCCTACATAGACGGTATAAAAATACGGACGTAGTCACCGTGACGTCACCCATTAGTTTCTGAGGAGCAGGTTTGAAGCTCAAAGTAGGCGGCTCTGGCCGTCGCCATCTTGGCAGTGCCTGACTCCGCCCAACTCCCGGCCAATCAAAAATGGGCAAAGAGGCGGGCCAAATGAAGCCTGGTTGCTTAAACATGCCCACCTCGCTCAAAGCTGCTAAGTTAGCTAAGGCTAACAAGCTACTAGGCTAACAAGCTACTAGGCTAACAAGCTACGCTACTTTGGCTAGCCCTGTGGTGTTGGCTGCTCCCGCTTGGTGCCAGCACCCTCACGAAACAAAATATCCAAAAGGCACAAACACGGCTGAGAGGTCAGGTTCAGTGACTTGCGAATTAGCTGAGATGACGCCTAGCAGACAGCCAGCGGCTAGTTAGCCACCTGTGATGGCGCCACCTGTCACTCAAAGTGACCACGCCCTTAATTATGTGCATCTTTAAGCCTTAATAAAATTTAAACGGATGAGTTATAAAAAAAATTCACCCCCTGTACAGTTGTCATGAAAGGGGAAATTAGCTATAGAGAGCAAAACTGTTTTTTGTACCAGGCTGTAAACATGTTTATTTCTGCTGTTAAGTTGAGCATTTTAACATGGAGGTGTATGGGGATTGACTCACTCTTGGAGCCTGCCTCAAGTGGCCATTAGAGGAACTGCAGTTTTTGGCACTTTGCGTTGGCTTCACTCGTCATCCCCGGAGGTTGCCACTTGTTTTCCTAGCTTTTTAAAAACTAATCTTCTAAATCTATTATTTTATTTTTAAAATTGTGGGACATTTCTTATCAAGTTGCTCACTGACTTTTTTTTTCATATTTTTGAAAGAAATCACACCAATTAGTGTCAAAATAAAAAAACACAACCCACCTGCAATAATATTAATAATTATTATATTAAACAAATAATTTGTAGACAAAACAATATGAAAAATGTAGTGATAACAATATAAAATCTGAGCCCAAACTTAATATCAATAACCATAAGATGCAACAATAACCTGGTTGATCCTGCAGGTTCAGTTTTCTAATGATGCCTTGGTGCTGCCTCGCTGTCAGCAGACGGGGGACCCTGACTTTATTATTATTTATTTTAATTATTGGTATTGGTGGTAAGAAGGTAAGGATTAGATTTGATGTACTTCCTCACCTTTATTTTATTATTATTATTATTTGATTTTTTTTCTTTATTTGGTTATTTATTTTCTTTTTTGTAATTTATCTTTTCTTGTTTTCCCCTCTTCCCCATCTTTTCACCTGTCAGACCTGTAGAGTGTAGCGCACACACACATGACCGCCAACACAACCTTGTCCCCTGACAACAGTTAATTTACTGACCTGTATTTACTTTGATATTTACTGTTTCTGTTGTTATGTGTGTGTTTTGTTTTGTCTTGCAGTATATAAAGTATATAAAAAGAAAAAGAATGAAATGGAACCAGTTTGCTCAGGGAGAGTTCAAAGGTTTAAATACTTGTGAAAGACAACTGATGTCGCTCCAGGTTTCAAAGGGTTAAAAGACCAGTAAGACACGTGTGTTCACATGGCTTTGCATCAGCGTGGAGTTAAAATGACGTCAGATTCAGGCAGATATGTCGTTCTCTGGTGATTCGTTAGGGAAAATCGATTCTTCCTCCGCCATGGAAATTAGTTAAAGTGGACGCAAATTGAAAATGGGCACGGAGTGTAACGAGTTGACGGTTCTGTCTGACATCAGTTGACGTACATGTGTCTGTAAACAGTGATTTTCCTCCTCAGGTGCTTCAGTCTTCAGACCTGCCAGCAGGATTGGTAAATGTCATCACAGGAAGTAGAGACCAGCTGACAGCCGCTCTGGCTAATCACAGCGTCATCAGGGCCATCTGGTACTGGGGCAGTGCTGAGGTGAGGCCTCAACACCGACACATACACCAGTGTTCACCTAAAACACCCACATCACACCCATATATCATCATTATCATCATCTTCACTCGTGCTCTCTGACACTCTGCCGCAGGGCTGTCAGTACCTCCAGCACACCTGCAGCAGCCCTCTGAAGACCCTCCGTCTGATCTGTCAGAAGGAAGCTGGAGGGACAGACTGGACTCAGTGTCGTCCCTCGCTCCTGGAGGAGATGTGGAGGAACGCCTTCCAGTGGAAGAGTGTCTGGATTCCCACTGCATAAGCAGACAAAGATGGAGGGTCAGGTATCAGCTGTAGAGTAGAACTGTGACCTGAAGTATCTGTGTTTAACAGGAAGGATTAAGAATGAAGCGTGACCATGAAATCATAAGACGCCCCCCAGTAACTGACTGTTAGCTAAACCCCACATGCCTCACTCAAGGCCAGAACACACCAGCGGTGAGTGACAAGTGTCAGAAAACACACCCCCTGTTTTCTATGTACAACCTCACACCAGGCGTGCGGCCTAGATGCGGCGCCCCGTGGCATTTCACACCACTGTCCTGTCTCCAGCCTGCCGCCCCCAGAATTAAATGCATTTCCCCCACTTATGTGAATGATCAATAAGGAACAGAGTCAGTGAGCCAAATGAGATAACAAGAGATTAAATATATTAACAGATTTAAGTTTGAGGTCGTGGCAGGAGACACATTACGAACTGCTTTGCCAAATATCTTCAGTCACTGTTCAGACAGCACATCACAACAACACTTGTGATGTGCTGTCTGCTGTTGGGTCGATGCTACAGCACAGACTCTTCATGAACACCTGATGACTTTCTACCTCTGTCTTCTGCTGCTCTGCATCTTCTCTCTGTCAGTCACCAACGTCTGCTTCGTTTAGTTCAAGTACCTCGACTCCGAGGTCAGTGTTTGTTTTATACAGGCAGACTTGGACCAGATATTTGGAAGTGACATAAAGTATGTGAGAGACATGGTAGAATATATACGTAAGCCCTGAGGGCGAGTGGAGAAAAAAATTCTAGTGAATGAAATAGTTTTCTGTTTTAATGACTTAAAAACAGGTGAGAAAAGGTTTTGGCTGGATAAAATGATGAAGACAATCTTTGAATCAGGTGGAAAAATATTATTTGCCAGATTAAAAAAAGCTTTGCCATGATCATTTTTCTAAATTCCTTAAAGGGGAACTAATGTTTTTTTCAACCTGGGCCCTATTTTCTGATCTGCTTTTGTCTAAATGAGTGATAGGATGTTCAATATGTGACATGTCTCCAGTATGAAGCTAGGGCTGACCTGCCTGCAGCCCGTGAGCGCGCGCTATTAAATAATAGGGCACTCAGACAGCGTCAAACAATGTCAAAATACGTCCACTAAAAGTGCATTTTTTTCACACAGATAGGCTCGGATTGTTAGTATAATTATCTGACAACATAACGGAAAGGAGTAATGAACGTCTGTGTTTACCTTTAGCTGGATTCAGACATGTTCCTCTGCCTGTTGCTGCTCCCTCTCTCTCCTCGTCCATCGCTCTGCGTCCATGTACGTCCGTGTGCTCCGTGTTCAAATAAATACGGGCGTTCATCAAATTCAAATGGCTCATCCAGATCCAGTTGGTCAAAAACTTTTTTCTTTTTTGTGAAACCTGGTGGGGAAAAGGTTTTCCGGGATCCTTTTTGTCAAAATTCCCCCTTTTTTTTTTTTTTTTTTTTTTTTTTTTTGTTGGGGAAAAAATTGCCAGGTGCCAGGATCATTTCCCTAAATCTTCTGTCATTTCCTTGTTCTTTTTCTTGTTTTTTTTTGTGAAACCTGTGCAAAAAAAAAATGCCTGGAGGGGAGAAACAGGTTTTCCAGGAACATTTTTATAAATTCCATATTGCCAAAATCCCATATCTAGTATTCCGTATTGTCGGGGTAATTTTTCTAAATTCCTTAATTTTTTTCATCTCTCAATCAGGTGTAAAATAATTGTCTGATAGGAGAGAAAATGTTTTGCCAGGATCATTTTTCTGAATTCCTTAAGTAGGAAAAAAAATCTTTTTGTGATCTTTTGAAGTTCCTTCTTTTTTCATCTGTAAAACTGGTGGAGAAAAAAGCTTTGACAGAATTATTTGTCTAAATTCCTTAATTTCTTCTTTTTTCTGTGAAACAGGTGGAAAAAATAGTTTTGCCTGAAATTTCATAATTCTTTTTTTCCATTTGTAAAACCAGGTGCAGGGAACAGAAAGTTTTTCACAGGATCATTTTTTTGAAATTCTGTAAAAAAAAAAATATATTTTTTTTTTTTCATCAATTTTTTTCATCTGTGAAGAATTTTTTGCCAGGTGGAGAAAAATGTTTTGCCAAGATAATCTTTCAGAGTTCCTTTGTTTTTACTGGTCAACTGGTGGGGAATTTTTTTAAATATATATATTTATTTTTATTTGTTTGTTTGATCCTTAGAAAAACAAATTCACATTTTTCACCTCTTTTCACAAATTAAAAAAAAGTAGAAAAATGACGAGGACAAAACCAAATGTCAACTGTTTAACAGATGGAATAAAGAATTAAGGAACTTTAAAAAATGTCCTTCTGAAACCTTTATTTTCACCTGTTCTTCAGTCAGAAACACAGCAGAGAAAACAATTTAGATCAGACTTAGAAAATGATCACCATAGTTTCTTTGTCTCGCTTGTCTCTCAGAGCCTCTGTAAATAGTTTGAATCAAATGTCTCAGTTGTAGTAAAAGTTTTCTACAATCCATCCTGTTTCAGTCTACAGCTTCAAACCTGATCTGCCTTCAAGTTCTGTTGATGACGGAGCAAACATGTTCAACGTTGTGTCATCGCAGTCTGAACACACAAATACACTGTGCTGTATATCTTTATTACTGTACAGTAACACTGTGCCTGTTCGCCACACAGGTTCAGTTGGTGCAAACATTCCCAATGAAATGTCATTTGTTTCCATGTCCAAGTTCACATTGTTAATAAAAGTTTTTCCAGTCTGTGTGTGTGGAGAAAAACTAAAGCCATAATTAAAAGAATATAATTAAATGAATTTATACACTCTGTTGTCTTTGTTTTTATGGAGAGCAGCGTCGGCCTGTTGGTCAGCTGACTGATGTCTGTCCAGGAAACACGTCACTAACGTAAAATATGAACACATGACTCTGTTGTTGAGTCCAGTGTCCGTCCAGCACAGAGACCGTTATGGGACCGGACACACCCAAACGTACAGATCTCAGTGAATCTCGTCCAGTCGCTGGTTCCTTATTTAAAGTTTCATCTTCCTTTTTATTTCTCAAACTGGTTCCAGCCAGCAGAGCACTGAGGTTAACTTCTCCTCACGAGTTTGCTTGGTCACGAGACTCCGCCCCCGAAACTGTGGAATGCTGAGTAACAACAATGACTTGGCACAATCCTCAGCTGAACCTGTTAGCTGGTGTTACAGGACTGCCTAATCATGCCCCATAACACAGAGAGACAATGAGAGACGCTGAGTCAAGGCTGATCATGCAGGCTGTAAACTGGGTTCAGATGCACAGACGTCGTGCTGTAATGACAAGTTTTATAGATTCAGTTTATTGTTCCCTGGTTTATGGACAATACAGTAAATATACAGCAGCTTAGAGGTGCTTCTCTCAGACTCTAGGACAAAGTGTGTACTGACAGTAGATCTGGCAGTAGATAAATCCCACTATACTATGTCATTAAAATTATAATGTTATAGTGTAGTATGTCAAAAATCATTAAAACATTCAGTGTAATATGCCTTTAAATTTTACTGATAACAAATCTTAGTATAGTAAAACATTTTTTAAAAAAATCATAAAGTCAGTAATGCATGACATGGAAAAAAAGGGTTTAAAGGTCATAGAATAGTGTATAAAAAGAATCAGTCAAAAAATCAAGTGTCATAAAAATGTTTTAATTTTAAAAGGCATAGTATATTATATGAAAAATATTTTGAAAGTCATAGCATTATATGTCATAACAAAATTACATTTATGAAAAGTATAAGTATAGTTTAACAAAAGAAATTTAGGAAAAAGTCATGGCATTTTGTGACATAAAAATTAATTTAAAAAGTCAATCTATAAATAGATTCATTAAGTCGTGTAAAAAAAAAGATCAAAAATGTTCTAGTATGTCAAAAAAATTGATTAAAGAAATCATAGTATAGTATATTAAAAACTCATTAAAAATTCAGTGTAATATGACTTTAAATTGTACTGATAACAAGTCTTAGTATAGTATGACAGTTTTAAAAAAAAAATGATGAAGTCAGTATTATTATTATTTCTTAGGGGGAAGTTTCCTGTTTTGCTAAACCTTCTATTAGGGGCAGCACTCTCATTTACAAGTGCAGCTGGTGGATGCAACCTGGGGTCAGAGCTTTGCTTTGTATAAAAGTCTGTACATTCTGAGGGTTGTCAGAGAACACTTGGGTCCTTTCTCCATGCTGCATGTATTAAAGAGACTTGATTGCTCACACCGAGTCTGTCACTTCTTCAGAGAGGAGAATTTTCCTCACAATAGTCTATGAAATGTTACATGTCGTAACAAAATGACATTTAAAGAAGTATTAGTATAAGATATAAAAGAGATTAAGGAAAAAGTCAGTATTTTGTGACATAAAAGTTTTTTGTATATAAAAAAATTAAGAAATTAAGAAAAATAAAAAAGTCAGTCATTGTGTAAAAAAAATCATAAACTTATAGTACGTCATAAAAAAATTGATTAAAGAAATCAGTATAGTATGTTTAAAAATATTAAAAGTTCTGTATAATATGCCTTCAAATTTTACTGATAACAAGTCTTAGTATAGTATTTTTTTAAAAAAAATCATAAATAAAGTCAGTATTAAAAAAAGGTTAAGAAATCATAGAATAGTGTATAAAAAAATCAAAGTCAGTGTAGTGTGTCAAAAAAATCATAAAAATGTTTTAATTAAAAAAACAGTCATGGAAGTCATAAAATATGAAAAATAACAAGTCATAGTGTTATATTTCATAGCACAATTACATTAAAAAATATTAATATAGTATAACAAAAGAAATTTAGGAAAACAAAATCATAGTATTTTCTTTAAAATTGATTAAAAAGTAAAGTCAAAGAAGCAAAATTTTGTTAAAAAGTATTAGTATAGCATAACATTTAAAAGAAATCCATGGAAAAAATCTTACTACAGTGTTCATAAAAAAGTTGTAAAAAAAAAAAAAAAACAGTGAATACGTCAAAAAATATATATACATATAAAGTCTTACGAAAGTATGTCATGCAAAAAATTAATTAATGCAGTCATATGATAGCAAGTAAAAAAAGTGTGATGTGTCAGCAAAATTTCATTAAAAAAGTATTTTGTGACAAAAAATTATAAAACATATAAAATGAATATAAAAAAATCATGTTATAGTATGTCCAAAAAATCTTTAAAAAATCATAGTATAGCACGTCATAAAAAGTCGTAGTATATAACCTACCATGAAAATATTATTTAAAAATATCCTGCCTAAGTATGAGATATTTCTATTCCTCAGCCATCAGTTATCGTGTGCTTCATGAGACACTAAAGCTAGAGGACACAACTACTCTGTGAGATGAGGAAGTTTACCAGCTCAGTGTTCACACGTCAGCTCTCGTTAAAGCATAATATCATTATTACTACAGGACTGGGACTGTAGTTTCAGCTGACACATGACTACTATACCTTTATTCTGGTGGAGAAAAATGTCACATCACAGGTTCCCTCCAGCAGCAGAGTTAAAACAGTTCAGGTTGGATTAAATGTAATCATTGGACAATAAAGTATCAGGAGGTGGTGTGATGAAAACATGGAGTCATGTAAATAGAGGCAGTGTCCTTGAGATAAGCACCGAGCTGAGTGCAGCATTTACCCAGACTGAGAGGTCTGTTAAAGTCCACTCGTCCCTGGCACCATGTGAGGGGAAAACTACCGACTCTCAGAGCTCTATCACTTTATTATGACCTCATAAAAGCAGAAATGATGCTGTCTTGTACTTTACATTAAGGTCAAAGGCAGGGCAGGGACACTGAAGCATAATGATCAAGGTTACATCAGGACGAACCTCAACACAAATCTCAGTCTGAGTTCATTTTAGATCCAGATGGGTTCAGTTTGGCCGCTCGTTAACTGCTTCTCACCATCAGTTTTACTTTTATAGACCCTTTTTGTTTCATGATAAAAGTCTAATTGCAGCAGGACAGCAGTTTCTCTAAGCACTGTTTAATGATTAAAAAGCCACTTTGATCACAGTTTCTTGGCTCCTGTGTTGTT